TGGGTTCAGGCAATTCTCCTGCCTCAGCCTCCCGAGTAGCTGGGATTACAGGCACGCGCAACCATGCCCAGCTAATTTTTGTATTTTTAGTAGAGACGGGGTTTCACCATGTTGACCAGGATGGTCTCGATCTCTTGACCTCGTGATCCACCCGCCTCGGCCTCCCAAAGTGCTGAGATTACAGGTGTGAGCCACCGCGCCCGGCCTGGAGTCAAATTTTTATTGATCATAGGTGTCATGTGTTAGAGCATGCACCTAATTTTTTAGTGGGTACAATGGTGAGCACAAAATAAAGAGCACACAGTTCGGAGTGAAGACTGACAATGACCGAGAAAAGTATGTTTAAAAGAACAGCCAGTGTTCATTTTCTGACATTGATATGGAACTACAGTTACGGAAGTCTTAGGGGAAACAGGGAGAAGGGTACACAAGAGTTTTCTGCATTTTTTTTTTTTGCAACTTACTGTGAATCTATAATTATTTTAAAATAAAAAGTAAAATAGCCTTGCCTAATGGCGCACATCTGTAATCCCAGCTACTTGGGAGGCTGAGGCAAGAGAATCACTTGAACCCAGGAGGTGGAGGTTGCAGCGAGCTGAGATCGGCCATCACTGCATTCCAGCCTGGGTGACAAAATGAGACACCATCTTCACAAATAAGTAAATAAATAAATAAACTTAGCCAGCCATGGTGGCATGAATCTGTTTCTCCAGATACTTGGAAATCTGGGGTAGGAGAATTCCTGAGTCCAAGAGGCTGAGACTGCAGTGAGCTGTGATCACACCGCTGTACTCCAGCCTTGGCAACACAACAAGACCCTGTCTTGGAAAAATAAATAAAATGAATAGACTTTCAAAAATTACAGACCGAACAGTGCGCACCATTCCGACGTTACAATGGTGGAATCGGCAGGTGTGCCCAGGCCAAGCAGTGGGGCTGGACACAGGTCGGTGGCCCAAAAAGAGTGCTCAACTTCTGCTGCACGTGCTTAAAAATGCAGAGAGTCGTGCTGAGCTTAAGAGTTTCAATGTAGATGCTCTGGTCATTGAGCATATCCGAGTGAACAAGGCACCTAAGGTGCAGTGCCGAACCCACAGAGCTCATGGCCGATTAACCCACGCAGGCGCGCTCTCCCTGCCACACCGAGATGATCCTTACCGAAAAGGAACGAATTGTTCCTAAACCAGAAGAGGAGGGTGCCCAGAAGAACATATCCCAGAAGAAACTGAAGAGACAAACTTACAGCATGGTTAAATTCAGCATTAAAGTAAATGCAATTAAAAGGAAAAAAATTACAAACTGTGATAAGGGCGTTATCATCAGATATAGATGAGTTGCTGAGATGGGAACAATAAGCGTCTGTGAAGGCCGGGTGCGGTGGCTCAAGCCTGTAATCCCAGCACTTTGGGAGGCCCAGGCGGGTGGATCACGAGGTCAAGAGATCGAGACCATCCTGGTCAACATGGTGAAACCCCGTCTCTACTAAAAATACAAAAATTAGCTGGACACGGTGGCGCGTGCCTGTAATCCCAGCTACTCAGGAGGCTGAGGCAGGAGAATTGCCTGAACCCAGGGGGTGGAGGTTGCGGTGAGCCGAGATCTCGACATTGCACTCCAGCCTGGGTGACAAGAGCGAAACTCTGTCTCAAAAACAAAAAACAAAACAAAAAAAAGAGTCTGTGAGTGACATTTAAGCCAAGGCAGGAGAGAAAATAAGAGGCCCCGCCCCCGCTGACCCGTGATCTCCGCTGAACTGGGTGGCCCCGTTGACCTGTGGTCTCCGCTGAACTGGGTGGCACTTCTCCCCTGGTTGAACTTTCAAGCAGTGTGGCTACCTTGGAGTCTCCAACCCCAGCCTTGGGACTGAGTCTCCTGGGTGAGGGGGAAAAAACCCTGGATCTTGTGCTAAAGGAAGGGCATCCAAGTTCTCTATCCCAGCTTAGGGGTGAGCAGACAGACCTTCCTAGGGTGTAAAACCACTGGGACACTGACCCTGAGAGATGACACAGCAGCCATCACCTTGATGAATTCGGGAGGAGGTCCTGGAATCTCCCGTGGGGACAGAGATTGAGTTTAGACTGAATGAAGGTTTACCTTTGAGTTAGGAGCCAACCATCAGAATCTGGAGATCACCAGTGATTATGCTGAATTCTAGGTACCAAGGATGGTAAAAGCTGTGCCCAACGTGGGGCTTGAACCCACGACCCTGAGATTAAGAGTCTCATGCTCTACCGACTGAGCTAGCCGGGCTCACATGGCAATGGTGCTTCCCATACTAATATTCAGAATCTTCAAAGCAGGTGCTGTCAAAAAAACAAAAACCAAAAATGGCCAAGGTGATTCTAGTTCCGAGGAGGTGGTACAGGAGTGGCTACCTGCAAAGCCAGCCTCTGGCATTCAGACGGCTGGGTGCACAGTCCCTACCAGGGTCTCTGGACATCTGGGACCTTACATCTGCCCCCACACTCTCTTTCTCAACCAGCTGTGGGCAGAATGTGAATCCTTTAACTTCAAGCCCGAGTCTCCAGTCAGGTGGAATTTGTAGTCAGGGACCATTAGCCATGGCTCCAGGCGGGGACCTCTCAGGGTGGTCCTGAGTGGGAGGCGGGGAAGCAAGGACCAACCTCTCTCCTGGGCTCAAGTGCGGATGTGAGGGGGCCTGGGTCCACACTCCACTGCCAATATAAATCCCAATACCTGCTTAATATTGAGCCCAGGCTTTGAATAGCTCCAAACCATTTCAAATGACCCAAAGAGCTCACCTCTTCTCATGCCCCTGCAGATCTGCGTGCAGGGTGGAGGCAGCCGACCATGAAGTCCCAGTGGGGAGGGCTCTTGGGTTTTCAGAGGTTTCTGTGATTAAAAAAAAAGAAAAGCAGGGCCGGGCGCGGTAGCTCACGCCTGTAATCCCAGCACTTTGGGAGGCCAAGGCGGGTGGATCACGAGGTCAAGAGATCGAGACCATCCTGGTCAACAAGGTGAAACCCCATCTCTACTAAAAATACAAAAAATTAGCTGGGCGTGGTGGCACGTGCCTGTAGTCCCAGCTACTTGGGAGGCCGAGGCAGAATTGCTTGAACCCAGGAGGCGGAGGTTGTGGTGAGCCGAGATCGCGCCATTGCACTCCAGCCTGGGTAACAAGGGCGAAACTCCGTCTCAAAAAAAAAAAAAAAAGCAAGGTTTTGTTTGTTTGTTTTGGTTTTTTAAAGACGGAGTTTCACTCTTGTTGCCCCAGGCTGGTAGGCGCCTGTGGTCCCAGCTATTTGGGAATCTGAGGTGGGAGGATTGCTTGAGCCTGGGAGTTTGAGGCTGCAGTGAGCCCTGATCGCACTATTGGACTCCAGCCTGGGTGACAGAGTGAGACTCTGTCTCAAAAAGAAAAAGCAAATGGCCGGGTGGGGTGGCTCATGCCTGCAACCCCAGCACTTTGGGAGGCCAAGGTGAGTGGATCACCTGAGATCAGGAGGTCAAGACCAGGCTGGTCAACATGGTGAAACCCAGTCTCTACTAAAAATACAACAAATTAGCTGAGCGTGGTGGTGCGTGCCTGTAATCCCAGCTACTCGGGAGGCTGGGGCAGGAGAATCACTTGAATCTGGGAGGCGAACACTGCAGTGAGCTGAGATTGCACCATTGCACTCCAGCCTGAGCAACAAGAGCAAAACTCTGACTCAAAAAGAAAAAATTCAAAAATAGTAGCTGTAAATTTCCCATACATTTTAAGAGCAGTTTTAGGTTTTCAGCAAAATTTAGTGGAAGGTGCAGAGTTGCAAATGCCCTTCTGTCCCCACATGCACACAGCTTCCTCCATTTCCACGTATATTTTTGTTTGTTTTTTGAAACAGGCTCAAGAGATCCTCCTGTCTCAGGTTCCTGAGTAGCTGGGGTCGCAGGCATGCACCATCATGCCTGCTAACTTTTAAAATTGTTTTGTAGAGGTGGGGTCTCACTCTATTGTCAAGGCTGGTCTCTTTTTTTTTTTTGAGATGGAGTTTCGCTCTTGTTACCCAGGCTGGAGTGCAATGGCGCGATCTCGGCTCACCGCAACCTCCGCCTCCTGGGTTCAGGCAATTCTCCTGCCTCAGCCTCCTGAGTAGCTGGGATTACAGGCACCCGCCACCGTGCCCAGCTAATGTTTTGTATTTTCTATAGATCCAGGGTTTTGCCATGTTGGGCAGGCTGGGATTACAGGCTGAGCCACCGAACCCAGCCTAGGCTAGTCTTGAACTCCTTGTGCTCAGGTGATTCTTCCACTTCGGCCTCTCAAAGTGTTGGGATTACTGAGCCACCGGACCCGACCGCCGTGATTTCCAGCCACTTTCTGATGGGCGCGTCACCGGGGCTGAGGGAGGTGGGCATGAATTCCCTGCAGTCCCGAGGTCCTGATAAGCATGGTGCCAGGAGGGGGACTCCAGGGTGGCCACCTCTGCAGCCACTCTCTTTTCTTTTTTGCCCACCTGCAACTGTCTTGATCGAGTTATACTCTGCGCCCACTCTCCAGGGGACCTGAAGTGCCTGATCATTTTGTATTTGACAACCATGCCCCTGCCACCTGTGCAGCCTGGCCTTGTGCCAACCGGCCAAAACTCTCTCTGCACTGGATACTGGCGCCGTTTCGTTTCTCTCTGACCAAGGCAACTTTAGAATAAGTCCTATTGGGAATTTGAACCCAGCTGCCAGACAAAGTCACCCACAGTTTTCCTTAGTTTAGTCAACAGAGTGAGCCACTGTTCTTATTAGCCTTGCATCTGCGGGAGAGCCGGTCCACAGTCGTAAAAGCTCAATTTCTGCCGGACTTGCTCCCTTGAGGGAGAAGGTTTTGTCTGGGAGCTCCAGGCCACAAGCCTCACTCACCCCAGGATGAAGCCACCACTGCAATCACTCGGGGAGTCCCTCAGGGCAGATCCGTGCTGACTGTCCCCCAAAAAATCCCCTGGTTAAAGAGCCTGTATCCTGAGACGCACGTGCCCCAAGGATAACACAACAGGCACAAACACTAATTCTTTTTTTTTTTTTTTTTTTTTTGAGAGGGAGTCTTCCCAGGCTTGAATGCAGTGTCGGGATCTCAGCTCACTGCAACCTCCGCCTGGGCACCTCTGGGATTTTAACCCGGGACCTCACGCACCCTAAGCGAAAATCATACCCTTAGACCAACGAGCCACACTGGGAGTCATGGACTTTGTCGCCCTTAATGAGCCCAACGCAGCTCCCCCATCTCTGGTCCGGATCAGTCCTAGGTTATTTGGTCACTATTTGTCCGCCTTTCCTGACGCTTTTCCCGGACCAGATTCTGGTCCTCATGGGGAGGAGGGGAACGGCGAGCTTCAGTATCGCCTCACCTCACGACTCCAAGTAGGAAACTCAGCTCGGGTTTTGGGGCGTCCCGTTTTCCCCGCCGCCCTTGCAGAACTGAGACCATCAGCTAGGCAAAGCTGCTAGGTCCTCCTTCGTCCTTGGGCAGAGGGCGAGGAGCCGGACTTGGACTCCTCAGAGGCACCCCAGTCTCCTGGAATCGCACCCCTTCCCTGCCACGCCAGGTACGGGAGGGACGCACCGCGGCGACCTCGGGACCTGGAGCCTCCGTCTCAAAGGCTTCCCAGCCCTGGACCCCCTGCAGAAGTAGGGGCCCTCTGGAATTTCACACCCTTTCTCACGCCCCAGCGGTTCCAGCTTCAGTGCAGACACCTACCTCCCAGAGTCCAAGCTGCCCCTTCAAATGAGTGAGCTTAAGCCCCAGGATGGGGAAGCGGACTGAGCCCTCATGGGAAGCACCCGTGGCCCGGGTCGAGGTGCCCCTCTGACCACCCGGAAACCCAGCCTCAGTGCCCAGGCCAATCTGGCCATTCGGTTCCAGCGGGTATTTGTGTTTGCTACACACCGAAGCTGTCTCTGAGCCAAGCTCACAAGTGCAGACCCCATGCAGCTCTGCTGGGGGCTCCATCCATGCCCTAAAATGACAAAAGCAAACTGTGGTTCCTCTGGGATTTGATCCAGAAGACAGTTAAGACCTCCATTTTAGGGACCTTCTTCCACAGTGTGGGTTTCACCCTCAATTATCTGCTTTCTGTTCATGGGACAAATGGAGGCTGAGCCCCAGCATCACCAGGTCCTGGGCTGAGGGCACCGTGTAGAAGGGTGTGGCCTGGGTGTGGAAGTGGGGGAGGGAGTTAGGGCCGGCCTGAGGAGGGACGCCCCTGGCTCCCAAGGGGACTTTGGAGAGGAACTATCCAGCTGGTGGAGGCCATAGTGGTTTCCCTTTAAAGAACAGGAGCCTTAACATGCTCTGGCCACTAGAGAAAAACACGCCTGCTGGGGAAACTGCTTAGTTGCCTCAGGATCAGGAGAGGCCTCGTCAGGCATCCTAGTGGCCCCCGGGGTTCTGTGCGAGACAGCTCTAATTACGCATCTGAGAATCAAGAGGCATGAAAGGGGCACCCAGCGCCTGTGTCCTTGGGCTTAAGAAGAGAAACTAACGTCCCTTTGGGTCAGAGACAAGGCCGCTGGTCTGGACCGTTCCACGCCCTGGAGCTCAGGCTCTGCTGCTTGGCCCCACCCTGGTGGGGGCAGTAATCCCAGGTGGGTATGGATCTGGATTCACATCGTCCGAGCTTGGGAGGCCCCGGCGTGTCAGCCGAAGCCCTGAGCCCCGCCTGTATTCGTCATGTCTTGTCTGTTCTGTATTTGGGTGCTCGACATCTGGTACCTTGTTGACCCTGGCGGGACTGCTCTTCCCAGGGTTAAACCATTTCCTACAGGTTGTGCATTTCAAATGTAAACCAACCAATCCAGAGCTCACACACTGGCTGCCTCCCCTTCTATGGGTCTCACACTCCAGGCCACTGTCCACCTGCCCTAGCCACCCCCGGGCCAGGTACCAGACTAAGGACAGCCCCAATGCCCCAGAGCTCGCTGAAATTACCAAAACAAGTTAATCCTAAACTTTCTTACGCTGCCTGCCTTTTCCTTCCATTAAAAACTACAATATAGGCTCTTGCTTACCAACCCCCTCCACTGACCCTGGTACTTCCCTGCGTGGTCCCCAGTGGCATGGCGTGTCCCTCCTCTTGGGAACTGTGAGTAAGAATCTTTTCAATGGCTGTCATCTCTTGATCTGGTGGCCTCACCATAAGAGAATAATGATAAAACCTACTTAATGCCAGGCGCGGTGGCTCTCACTTATAATCCCAGCACTTTGGGAAGCCGGGCCAGGCGGATCACCTGAGGTCAGGACTTCAAGACAAGCCTGACCAACATGGAGAAACCCTGTCTTTACTAAAATCACAAAATTAGCCTGTAATCCCGGCTACTCGGGAGGCTGAGGCAGGAGATTCGCTGGAACCTGGGAGGTGGAGGTTGCAGTATCGGGCCATTGAACTCCAGCCTGGGCAACAAGAGCAAAACTCTGTCCTCCCAAAAAACAAAAAACAAAAAAACCAACCCACTTAAATGCTGCCGTTCTTCCCGCATAGAGAAAAGTCACCCCATTCCCGGAGCACAGCCCACTGGACTTCCATGGTGACCTCACGCCCTTCCTTGCCCCAACACGAGGTACAGAGCTTGCCATCCTCAGTCTCGGTTTCCACTCCCCTCGGTTGTGAAAGGCACCTCTGGCAGCCTCTCAAGAAGGAAAAAGAGCCAGCTGGGCATGGTGGTTCTGGCCTGTAACACAGCACTTTGGGATTGGAGGCTGAGGCAGGAAGACTGCTTTAGTCCAGGCTGGAGACTAATCTCCGGATTGCAGTGAGACTTCCGTCTCTAAGAAAATTATATCTGTATATCACACCAAAAAAAATTTAGCCTGGCATGGTGGTGCCCACCTGTGGTCCCAGCTACTTGGGAGGTGAAGGTGTGGGAAGATCCTTGAGTTTGGCAGGTCGAGGTTGCTGTGAGCCGAGATTGCACCACTGCACTCTAGCCTGGAAAAGAAAGAAAGAAGGAAGGAAGGAAGGAAGGGACAAAAAAAGGAAGAAGAAAAGAAAAGAAAAGGAAGGGTTCAAAACCCTGGGCTTGTCCAAAATTTAAACTTATAATCTTCCCACTCAAAGGAAAACCACACACCCAGACCAAGTTCCACGGTCACCTGGGATCTAGGGCCATGTCTGCAGAGGCAGAGGAGGTGGGAGAGGGGGTGGCCTTCCTTTCGGGTCTCAGGTCTGGGATTCACTGGTCCAGCGCCTGGCCTCGGGTGCACCCAGAACTCAGAGGTGGAAGTCTCCAGTCAAGAGGCTCAGGCGGGTCCTGCCTGAAGGTGGGCAAGGCGAGGGGCTGCAGGCAGGACGGAGGCGGGAAGTCGGATCGGAAAAATGAGGTGTTCCGAAGAAAAAAGACAAAACGGGCTCGTCCGGGATTTGAACCCGGGACCTCTCGCACCCAAAGCGAGAATCATACCCCTAGACCAACGAGCCAGCGTGACAGCGGCTTTCTGACGTCTGTCTCCGGACGTTCCCACCCGGGGCTCCACCCCCACACAGCCCCGCCTTCAGGCCACCACCGCCCCGCCCACACCCGGTCCCGGCCGCGGCCCAACTTCAAGCCCAGCGCGGAGGGTTGCGCGGGGGCAGGTTTCCGTTTCGATCCCAGGAAGCTGGTGGGAGGTGCAGCGCCGCGGGGACCAGCCCCTGGAGGAGTCCCCGCAAGACCCCGCCCTCAGGCGCACAGAGGCGGACCCCGCACCCCGAGCACCGCGGCGGCGCCTCCCCCGAGGGCTCCCGGGCTCCCAGCGGCTCCAGGTGGCCCCACACCCAGAGAAGGGCCAGTGACCGGGGGCTGCGGCCCGCGGAGAGGGGTCTGTGTGGCCTGCGTAAGGCGGGGGTCTCTCAAGCTGAGCCCCAGCCGGGACATGCTAGGAAGGGATCCCCTGTGCCACACAGACCCCGGGCCTCTGCCCTCAGCCGAGCCCCCTCGAGGCCTGAGCTAGGCCCAGGCGACCCTCGCAGCCGACAGAGGCCAGAGCTGGGGGTCGGAGTTCAGTTCTTCCCAAACGGGCGGCTCGACGAACGCTCCAAGCTTTTCTTCCCTTTTCCACCGCCAGGGGACGCAGCATTTTACCGGGAGCCTAGAGAGGAGAAGGGTCGTCCGGGCTTGGGCCTCCGCTGAGGCCTCGCTGCCCGCCCTAAACGGGGATGAGGGTTTGAAAATGAGGGGACCTCCGTGATTTAACCCCGGAACCTCTCGCAACCCTAAGCGATGGTCACGCCGAATCTCCCCCTGGCCATTCCTAGCGTCCTTCAGCCCTTGTCCCCGACGTTGCCGCTCCCGGGAGCTGCAGGGGCCGCACACCCCCGCGAGACACGGCCCATAGGGGACACCCCCGCGAGGGACGGCAGACTAGATGGGCCTGGCAGTCAGTGCTCTGGCGCTCAGGATGCAGCGTGTCTTGGGTTCAGAACTCAGTCTCACCGGTTTTATACGGTACACGGAACTTCTGGAACGCTCCAATAGACCTCCGAGAGACGCTTCTGCCACGGCCGCCCGGCTAGCTCAGTCGGTAGAGCATGAGACTCTTAATCTCAGGGTCGTGGGTTCGAGCCCCACGTTGGGCGTAGGTTTTGTTAGAACAATTAGATGCTCAAGAAAAGGTGAAAAGTGTGAGGGGTAATCGGCGCTGGGGCTCTCCACCAACCGGCTGGATTCATCGCACCTCTGTGGTTTTGTTTCACAAAAAATAGGCCGAGCGGATGGCTGGTACCTGTAATCCCCACACTGTGACTCCAGGAGTTTGAGACCAGCCTGGGCAACATAGTAAGACCTCAGCTCTTAAAAAAATAGAAAATTGAGCTAGGCCTGCTGGGGCATGACTGCCCAGTTACTCCGGAGACTGAGGCAGGAGAATTGCTTGAACTGGGGGGGCGGAGGTTGCAGTGAGTGTGAGCCGAGATCACGCCACTGCACTCCAGCCTGGCGCCTGGCCACAGAGCGAGACTCTGTCTCAAAAAAAAAAAAAAAAAAAAAAAAAAAAAATCAAACGTCATTTAATTAGGCATGTTGCAGAATGGCAATATAAATGGAATTCACAGCCTTAGGAAATCTTTGGTGTGAAAGAAGATACGGCACTGAATAGGAAGTAGTGACTCAGGTTGAACTCAAAATTGAGAATCTTGAACTACAAACTGACCTTGGAGAAAACAGCATACATACTTGGAGAAAACAAAGCAAGTTTTGCTACCTTAAGCCATCATAGGGAGGCTGGGATATGATTTTGTATCTGGTGAAATTATCCATCTGGGTGCACATCCCAAAGAACCTATAGTTGATATATTATCTCACGCAGCTGACTGTGGCCCTACCAGGTTTCTTGGTTGATTGGCTGAAAATTGAACTCAGTGGTAGCCTGTATTTAATGAGACTGGGATGCAAGAATGTCTCAGACAAACTGTAGAGAAAGGAATCTAAAGACACCAAGCAATGTTGGAGTGCACCTATCATGCATGGTGTGCGCAGTGAGAACACTCCCTTTTTCTTTTCTTCTTTTTTCTTGAGACGGAGTCTCGTTCTGTCACCCAGTCTGGAATGCAGTGGCACGATCTCGGCTCACTGCAACCTCTGCCTCCTGGGTTCAAGCAATTATTTTGCGTCAGCCTCCCAAGTATCTGGGATGACAGGCACGCGCCACCATGCCCGGCTAATTTTTGTGTTTTTAGTAGAGACGGGGTTTCACCATATTGGCCAGGCTGGTCTCCAACTCCTGACCTCGTGATCTGCCTGCCTCAGTCTCCCAAATTGCTGGGATTACAGGCATGAGCCACTGCACCCAGCCAGTTCACCCCCTTTCACAAGTCCTCCCAAATAAATCCATCACAGAAGCATCAGCTTCCTTAAGTAGGTCTATGGTGACCATTCTCTGCAGGTGACATATGATGGTGGAAGGTGATACCACTAAGGTGAGGTCCCTGATTTCAGTGGGGTTGATGGGGCTCAGGATGTTTGGGGAAGTTGGAGAAGCCAGGTCAGAGCTGGAAAAACAGAAGAGTCCCAATCATGGGTTTTAAAGGCAACATCCAACTATGTTCTTATACATATATCTGACCAAATTCCAGCGGTGGTTCCCATCAAGGTGGCTTCTGATTTTACTTTACACCATGTCTTGTAGTTTGGGAAGTTTTTACCTTGAAGATGGCATTATATATTTCATGAATTAAAAAAAGAATACTAGCCAGGCATGGTGGCTCACACCTGTAATCCCAGCACTTTGGGAGGCTGAGGCAGGCAGATCACCTGAGGTCAGGAGTTCAAGACCAGCCTGGCCTACATGATGAAACCCCATCTCTACTAAAAACACAAAATTAGCCAGGCATGGTGGTACATGCCTGTAGTCTCAGCTACCCAGGAGGCTGAGGCAGGAGAATTGCTGGAACCCAGGAGGTGGAGGTTGCGGTGAGCCAAGATTGTGCCACTGCACTCCAGCCTGGGCAACAAGAGCAAAACACCGTCCCAATAAAAAGAAAATTAAAAAAAAAAAAGAATACTGTGGACTATTTCAAACATGTATTAAAACAGAGAAAATAGTACAATGTCCCCTTATGTCCCCCATCATACCATTATCTACTCATGGATAAGTAGTGTCATCTATACTTCCATCCAGCTTATGATTTTAAAACCAACCAGTTGTCCCTGTAATTTAATTCATAAATAATTGAGAAAATAAGGATTTTAAGAATATACGTAACCGTAATAGAATTATCAAACCTGAAAGACAATCATTCCTCTTTATCAAATCGGATGATTCTTAAAATCCTGTTGAAGATTCAAGTACTTTTTTCTGTACTCTGAAAATACCTTCACTCTTATTTGAAACCAAATACAAGATTTCTAATGTAGAGCTTGTCGGGGAACCCTCCCACAAGCTCCGCACCTCCACCGGGCAACAGCAACGTCGTTTTTCCTCTTTCTCCCCGGTGAAGAACCTAAAATTCAGCCCCTATTACCCCGGGTGGGACTCGAACCCACAATCCCTGGCTTAGGAGGCCAATGCCTTATCCATTAGGCCACCGGGGCAGACGGCAATGTTACGGTGCTTGTCTTAGACCAGTCTCCATCACCCCGCTGTGGTTCCCGCAGAGCCTACCGGCCCCATCCTGGCTCCCTCCCGCCTCTCCACGGGAATCCAAGCTCGGGTTCAGATTTTGTCTGCTCCTGAGCATTCTCAGGACCCCAGAGAGACCGCGCGCGTGCAGAGGGAGCTGAAAGACACCAACGTTAGCTTTTGGTTCGGCCCTTTGGTCTAGGGGTATGATCTTTGCTTAGGGGGTGAGAAGTGTCTGGATCAAGTCCCTTGGGGAGCCCTAGTCTCCATTCAGGAGAGAACCCAAGTCCAGGGGTAATTAGTAGCGAAAGAGGCGTTTGCGATGGAGCGATGGGAAGGGGCACGCGATGCCTGCTTCGCAACTGACTCCTCATCCCGAGCCCGCCGCTGGGGGAAGTATTGGTCTTCGTCCTCCTCTCCGCTTTGTCTCTTAGACAATGGAAGGCCGGGCGCGGTGGCTCAAGCCTGTAATCCCAGCACTTTGGGAGGCCGAGGCGGGTGGGTCACGAGGTCAAGAGATCGAGACCATCCTGGTCAACAAGGTGAAACCCCGTCTCTACTAAAGATACAAAAAATTAGCTGGGCACGGTGGCACATGCCTGTAGTCCCAGCTACTCAGGAGGCTGAGGCAGGAGAATTGCCTGAACCCAGGAGGCGGAGGTTGCGGTGAGCCGAGATCGCACCATTGTACTCCAGCCTGGGTAACAAGAGCGAAACTCCGTCTCAAAAAAAAAAAAAAAAAAAAAAGACTCTCCAAAATCCGCCCTCTACATCCCCAGCTGGCTCGATGTTAATCTCAGTATCGTCACGTTGCGTGTTTACTCTCCTGCCCCAACATGTGTGTTATTTTCCTTTTTAAAAATAATCTGTATTCTAATTAAGCACACACACATAATACCTAGTAAACGCTTTTGCTCAATAGCTAGTAAACGCCCGAGGCCAGGAGTTCGAGACTTCGTAAACCACTGGAGCATCAAAAAAATGCTAAAGTAGAAAGTGACACCCTGCATGACCCGAGTCACCAGCGTCCGCCGATCGGAGGACATGCCTGCAGCTGTGACTTTTCGCAGCCTTCACCCCGTGGAAGGACACCCCACGCGGCGCTGCTTGGCACGCGGACTAAACTCAGGTTCCGCTGGTAGACTTTTTTTTTTTTTTTGGTAGACATTTTGTACTCGGTGAAATGTTAATCCTGGACATATTCTTTGTATTGAAAATTTTATTTTATTTTATTTTATTTTGAGACAGAGTCTCTCTCTGTTGGCCAGGCTGGAGTGCAATGGCAGCTCACTGCGACCTCCGCCTCCCGGGTTCAAGCGATTCCCCTACCTCAGCCTCCCGAGTAGCTGGAATTACAGGCGCGCGCCACCACGCCCCGCTAATTTTTTGTATTTTGGTAGAGACGGGCTTTCACCATGTTTGCAAGGATGGTCTCAATCTTCTGACCTCGTGATCCTCCCGCCTCAGTCTCCCAAAGTGCTCGGATTACAGGCGTGAGCCACCGCACTCCACCTGTATTTTGAAAGCTGGGACTGGCGACAGAGCAAGACTCCGTCTCAAAAAAAAAAAAATTTTTTTTTAAATACACTTTTACAGTAGTCATTTTATTTTATTTTATTTATTTTTTGAGACAGAGTTTCGCTGTTGTTACCCAGGCTGGAGTGCAATGGCGTGATCTCGGCTCACTGCAACCTCCGCCTCCTGGGTTCAGGCAGTTCTCCTGCCTCAGCCTCCTGAGTAGCTGGGACTACAGGCGTGCACCACCATGCCCAGCTAATTTTTGTATTTTTAGTAGAAACGGGGTTTCACCATATTGGCCAGGTTTGCCTTGAACTCCTGACCTCGGGCGATCCACACGCCCTCAACCTCTCAAAGTGCTGGAATTAACAACCGTGAGCCACCGCGACCGGCCTAGGTGTTCTTTTTTTGTATTTTAAAATGGTGTATATAATATGTGTGTGTGTGTGTGTATAAACGTGTATGTATATATATGTATACACCTACGTATATATGTATGTGTATATATACATGCACATACATACATATGCACAGTTTTATATATAAATATATACAAAAAAGGTTTGCCATTTTAACCATTTTCTAGTGTGCGATTCAATGGCATTAATCACATTCACAATATTGTGCAATCACCACCACTATTTATATATTTTTTTTCTTTTTTACTGTGTTATCCTATGATCAGTTAATAGAGGTTACAAACTTTTCACCACAATAATCTGCTGGAGACCCCAGATATAATGTGGGGCGTGACCAACTCAGTATACCTCTGGAGCCTGTAAGCGCAAACCCAAATTGTCCTCAAGAAGCAGGATGCCCGCAAACTGACGAACCGCGTCTGTCGCCAGAAGGAATGTTGAGGGCAGTCACGTCCCAGGTCCTGTGCTCCTTGAGGTTATCTGCCTGATCATCTGGATCCTGTTGAACAAGGAGAGCAGTACCTGTAGCTGTAAGACAATCACCCCCTCCTCCCTATTCTCTTTACTTCATAAATACGAAGGGCTGTAAAAGCTCAGGGCGTTTGCTCACTGGAGGCAAAGAGCCCCCGACCCCTTCTTTCAGACAGAACCTTTTGTCTTTGTCTTCATTTCCGCGTTCGTCCTCCATCGTTCATGAGATAACTACGGCAATAATCAATTAGGCTAGACGTGTCGCTGGGCACGGTGGCTCACGCCTGTAATCCCAGCACTTTGGAAGGCCGAGGCAGGCAGATTACCTGAGGTCGGGAGTTCGAGACCATGTTCTGACCAGCATGGAGAAACCCTATCGCTACTAAAAATACAAAATGAGCCGGGGTGTGCATGCCTCTAACCCAGCTACTCCGGAGGCCGAGGCAGGAGAATCGCTTAAAGCTGGGAGGCAGAGCTTGCGGTAAGCCGAGATCGCGCCATTGCACTCCAGCTTGGGCAACAAGAGCAAAATTCTGTCTAAAAACAAAAACAAAAAATAAAAACTACACGTCCTTTGATCCCTTTGGGGCAACTCCTCATCGCAAGCAATCCCAACCCCGCATCTGTCACGGTTTCCATCGCCTGAACCTTAATTTGTGAAGTCAATTCCCTAGTGGCTCTCAGTACTCGCGGTCTCTGGCTTCAAACTCCGCAGTCCGCCAGGGACCCGCCAGCGGTCTTGGGGTCGCCCTTGCTGCAATTCTAGCCCTAGGTCCTGAGCTGCGCGATTGCAAGGGTAGGTGACATCCGAGGATTCGGCTGGCTCACTCAGTTCGAGTGTCCAGGGTGCAGTACAAGGAGAAGAAATTTGTTTAATGCAACAAGAAAAAGACAACCCAGCAGCGACCACGAAGGGACTCGAACCCTCAATCTTCTGATCCGGAATCAGACGCCTTATCCATTAGGCCACGCGGCCCCACGGCTATCACTCGCGCATTTTTTTCATAAAGCTTTTCCAGGGTCTATGTTGTGTGCCTCAGTGCGCATGACTAGAGCGAAGGAGGCCCCGCCCCTCGAGCTCCCGGTGGGCGGGGCCGCGAGCTGCGCTACCGCGGCCGGTCGCTGAGGCTGCTCGGCGGAAACTGTCCCCGCGGGCCTGGACTGCGAGTTCTCGCCCTGGCGAGGCTGCCAGATCCCACCCGTCCAGCAACAGGCCCCTCCGAGACGCCGTTTGGGAGCTCTTGCCCCCATGTGCCTCCCGCCGCTTTGGGTCAAGGGCTGCAAGCTGCTTCCCCAGCCCCCGTGCTTGCTCCGTCACCGGTGAACCTGCAAAGGTGTGTTTCGGAGGCTTTTGGCCCCAGACTTTATTCTGGCCGCCTGGAAAGCGGAGGCCGTGTCTCCTGCGTTTCCGTCGCCCAGCGCGGGGTGGAGGTGGGGCGCGTGTGCACAGGGACATGGCTGGGAGACGGATACGCGGCCTCTTCCCGGGACTGCTCTCCCCTCGGAAACTCCCGTAACCAAACCACCAGCCCAGCCCGGCCCCGCCCACCATGCCCCGCCTATCACAGCCCGGCCCCGCCCACCCATGCCCGGCCCCGCCCTGCCCCGCCCACCCATGCCCGGCCCCGCCCAGCCCAGCACTTGTTGGATTCCTAAGTCCCAGAACCTGGGCACTGGCCCCAGCTAGGTTCCCAGGGACGCAACTGCGTCCATATGCCGTGAAGACGCTTTACACACATCTCACTTATTTCACACTTCCTTGAGAACAGGAACTGTTCACGGCACACGTTTATTGCACGCCCATCCCCACACTGCCACGCCTCGCTCTCAGATGAGGAAACCGCGGGGTGGGTGGTGGATGGAGGCAACAGTGGTGGTCTCAGCAGCCCCCGGTGGCCGCGGCTCTGTCAGGCCTAGAGGCAGAGCCGGTGCCGGAGCGAGCTGCAGATCTCCAGGCAGGCCTTTCGGGGTTCATCGCAGTCGGGGCCCAGCACATCCTGCTCACACACCCGCCTGTTGACCTGAGGACCACAACCAGCCTGCACCTGGGGCTCCAGCTCTTCTGGGCTTAGCCTGCCCCAAGGGAGGGCCCCTGACTTGGTGCATTGTAAGCTCTAAAATTTCAAGGGCTGCCTGGACGTCTTTGAGGCTCGCAGGACTCCAGCGAACTAACAGTGAATTCCTCCACTCTGGCCAGACATGTCCCCACCCAGCAGGACAGGCTCCCACACCCTAGTTCCCCTCTCAGCGAGACCAGCTTTACCCCACCTGGTCCTCACCCTGATGGACTTCAGCCCTCTGTCAGGCCTTGGAAATATCCAAACCAACCAACCACATCTGCCTGTGGGAACCAGGGACATCTCACTCTCTTGCCACTACAAAGCCAGCTTCCCATAGGCCCTGCAGGTTCACCCTGCTCTGAGCACAAGCCCAGGTGGCCCCACATGGCGTGCAGCATCCTCCTCCCCCTACTGTGGTACGTGGGACTAAGAACTACAGTCGATGGCATCTATGCAGAGTCGGGCATCCTGGGTTTGGTTATTTTGTACTGTTAAGGGCAGAGGATCCCTCCTACACCAGTGGAGTTTACCAGAAGTAATCAGAACACGAGGGCTGGGGAGAAGGGCAAACCCAGCCCCTCACCCCTTGTCACCCTGGAGCCCCCCCAACATACCTCAGTCAGCAGCTCCAGAAGGTCTCTCCCGGGGTTGGCTCTGAGGACCTCCACCAGGGTCTGGATAAAGTCTGAGCCCCTCTCATCCCGATAGGCCACATAGCCTAGGTCGGGGAACCAGGGCCAGAGCATCAGACCAGGGCCCCAACCTTCTGCCTTCCAATCCCAGGGGTCCTATTATTGGTGGAAGCGGGGTACAAGCAGGCAGGACTTGGGGATTAGGCAAGAGAACAGGGGAGCGAACAGGGACTTCTTGCATCTGGAACAAGTCGTTGCTAGATATTTGCAGGATGAGCCTATGAAGACATTCACTACTATTTACTGCACACCTACTATGTGCCAGGCACTGAGCAGGGCCTCGGGGCAGGCAGATCTGCCCTGGCCTTGTGGAACTCACAGCCTTGAGGAAGCCTGCACACACAGTGGTGGGCATAGCAGCGCCTCACAGCGCTCACCATCACTGCTGTTACTACACGTCATAACCCATGCGGGGAACACGGCTTGCCCACAGCCGGGCTGCCATCTCTGTGCCCCAACCCTAAGCCCTTAGCTGCCCCTAAGGCTACTCCACATCTTAGGCCAGGAAGCTGGGGCCTGTGTAACCACGGGCTTCCCGATGACCCATCTCCTTACCCTCAGCGGCTGCATAGACCGTCAGGATGTCTGCCTGGTGGGAGCTCCCTGAAGGGGGACCCCTGCTGGAGCTGTCTGCAAGAGGAATCAGCTCCAGTGATCAGCATCCTGGAACTCCATCAGCCCCAGGGGCTCCCCGTCTGTGGCTCAAGGGCAGCCCAGGGAGGTGGAAAGAATGCAGGGCAGGAAAGACAGAAGTTCAAAGCTTGGCCCAGCGACTTACCAGCTGTGACCTCAGAAAAGCTATTTGACCTTGCCAATTCCAGGGTTCTTGCCAAGCTCCAATAGGGGAAAAAGCTCCCACTTCCCAAAGGCCCTTGCAGTTTAGGAAGATTTTTTTTCTTCCTGTTGTCTTGGCAAACAGGATGCAGGTGGCAGCCATACCCCAGCTGAGAGTCTGGGAGATGCCCTCTGGGCAGTCCCCACCACCAGCCCTGCCCAAGCCCAGGCCCTGTAGGGAAGGCAGAACCCACCTCGGGCCTCGGCGTAGATCTGCAGGACATCTGCATGAGAGGGGACAGATGGAGGTGCCCACAGCCAGCGCCGGTACCAGGGGAGAGCTGCGGGCCCCACACCAGCATCCCTGTTTCCTGAAGAGGGCGGGGAGAAGCAGATGGTCTCACTCTGGGGATACCTGGGGGTGCTCAGGGGTCTCATGTGAACATCGGATCAAGATGAGAACCCAGCCCCAGAGCTCCAGGGCAGGCTTGCCAGACTGGAGACATTCAGAGCACTGAATGACAAGTGTTGAGGGTTAAGCGTTCAAGGTTGTGGACTTGACCTCTAGGAGTGGACAGGACAGGGGGCAGGGAAGGACTGGTACCCAGACTCCCTGGAGGAGGTGGACAGTGAGTCCTGGGGGCTGAGGCTGGCCGAGGAAAGTGAGGCCAGGAGGAGGCGGGCCGCTCACCCCCACGGCAGGCCTGCAGCAGGAAGATCTTGGGATGCCCCCGCAGCATCTGACAGCGGCTCAGCTCCTGCATCAGTGCCTGGGGCTGCACCTCTTGCCCGTCGGCCCCCAGCAGCTGACCCTGAGGTCCCCCATGGGCCATCAGGGCCACAAGGGCACAGCTCACAGGGCCCCTGCAGGTGTCCAGCTGCTCCCGGAACTGGGCTAGCTCCTCCTGGAAAGCCTGGGATGGAAGCAATGTTGAGGCCTGGGCAAAAGCCACCACCTCCCCAGCCCCTAGCTGCCCTCTGCGGGGCTGAGGTTTCCCAGCCCCTGCCCACCTGGCCTCCCACCACCTGCCACTCACACACTCACAGGCCCAGGGAGGGCCCTCTTTTTTTCTTTTTTTTTTTTTTTTGAGACATTCTGAATGTCTCCAGTTTTGTTGCCCAGGCTGGCCAGGCTGGAGTGCAGTGGTGCAATCTCAGCTCACTGCAACCTCTGCATCCTGGGTTCAAGCGATTCTCCTGCCTCAGCCTCCCAAGTAGCTGGGATTACAGGCACCTGCCACCACACCCAGCTGATTTTGTCATTTTAGTAGAGACAGGGTTTCACCATGTTGGTCAGGCTGGTCTCAAACTCCTAACCTCAAGTTATCCGCCCACCTCAGCCTCCCAAAGTGTTGGGATTACAGGCCTGAGCTGCTGTGCCCGGCCAGAAGCCCTTTTCTGACTCTCTCCTCCAAGAGCTGACATAGGCCCAGCTTCCTAGAGCCAGTTCTCCTCCTGCCCTGGTGGGGAAGCTGCACCAGGAAGTCGAGAGGTGTGAGGAGAGGGCAGTGGGCTGCTGGGAGGGAAACCAAGACTTGGAGCTAAGCTTTGAGCTGGGCGGGTGGGGAGGGCAGAGAACAAGCCAACGAGGGAGGCCTCGGGGACCCTGGAGACCAGGCTTCCAGAGGCAGGGAAGTGACGGCCTGATGCAGGCAGCAGGGAAGGCAGAGGCTAGACCTGTGGTCACTTCCTGCCAGTGACGGAGAGAGGCTCAGGAGAGAGGCCCCAGGTTCCTAGGGAGGGGTGGTCTTCCTTCAGAGCACCAGTGGTATTCTCGGCTTCCCCTCACCTGGGCTGTAGGGTTTGTCCTCACGGTGGTCTCAAAGCCCAGGGCCCGGCACAGGCCCCCCAGTGCCTCCACATCGTGCTGGGCCCCAGGCCGGCCTCGGATCACAGCCAGGAGGAGGGCAGCCCTGGTCTTGGACAGGTCATACTGAGTGCTGGGACCGGGGGCCGGCTGCAGAGAGGGTTAAGACATATCCAAAGCGGCCTGAGAGGACTCCAACTCCTAGCCTCCCCAACCTGGGTCTCCCTGAGCCTCTGTCCCACTAGAGACTGTGGCCATGTGATTGGACCCCTGCCCTGTACCCCTCACCTCGGGCCTCCAGGGCTCCATGCCTCCCAGGCACAGTGCCCCCCGCAAGGAGCTCTGAAGAACAGGGCAGCAGGTGCCCCCAGTGGACTCTTCAGCCACCCTGTGGAAGAGCTGGGATGGGGCCAAGAAAAGACTTAGCCAGACTCGTGGCTTCTATAGTTTCTTCAGGGTCACCTGCCAGCAAAGGACAGACAGGCAGGATGGGCTCAAGCAAGACCCAGGCTCCAGTTCAGACTCAAGGCCATGGACTTCCCTGGGCATGGATGGCCTCAAGGGGACAGTGGCCACACCATTAACCCCTGCCCCGGGATCAGTGTGCACAGACGTGGGGATGCACCCTGGAGCAGGGCAGGGCCTGTTAGGAAGGCACATGGGTTGTGCACTGCCTTTCTGGGTGATCCACAGAGGACAGCTGGGGCCCACACCCCTTCACCTCCAAGGCTGCCCAGGGGCCACCCAACTGCCCAGTGAGACCTTCACCCCTAGAGACCAGACTTGAATCATTCCCAGTCCCAGTCTCCAGGGTCCTGCGATCTAACATGGCAGATAGTTACTGCCTGGCCTGAAGTGCAAGGTGGATGCAAGGAAGGGGGTCGCTGACGGCCTGGGGAGGACTGTGTGGGCTAGCTGGGACAGCAGGAGGGTGTGGCAGGCACAGGAAACTGCTTGGGTCAAGGCATGGGGTTGGGAGGAGGCTGGAGTGTTGGGGTATCCTGAGTGGGTTGTGGGGGTCCCTAGTTGGGGGTGGGGGACTGACACCATGTGCATAGACAATAAAGGTTTGTAGAATGAATGGGAGGGAGGACACATGTGAATGAATTTAACTGTAACTGGCTCTGGCGGCACCGCAGAACCAGGGGAGACAGCAGGCCCAGCCGGCTTCCCCACCTCCGTCAGCAGCTGTACCAGGGACCAGTGAGGAGAGCGGCTACAGAGCTCTCTCAGGCCATCGAGGAAGGCTCCAGGCTCCAGGGTGGCTGGGTGGAGAAGTACTGTGTTGGCCTGGAATGAGGCCTGAGGCTCCCCTGCCCAGCCTCTGTGTCCCTGCCCAGCCCACTCACCACCAGGGCCACTTGGGAGCAGCAGAAAGACTTTGGGGCAGCCCTGAAGGACCCCACAGCTGCTCAGCTCCCGGACCAGCTGTTGTGGGTGCCACAGCTGCCCTCTGGGGGCCACCAAGGCCACTAGGGCACACCCCAAAAGGTGCCCCTGGGCATCCAGCCGCTCCCGAAACCAAGCCAGCTCCTCAAGGAAGCCCTAGGGACAAGAGTGAGACCAGCCTGAGTCAGTTGGGGAGCTCTGGGTGGGGAGGAGATCCTGGGTCAGGGGAGGGTGGGAAAGGGGTGGGGGCTAATCCTGAGGGTGGAGGTGAAAGGCAAAGGCTCACCTGGACCGGGACCTCCCTCCTCTCGAAGCTCTCAAATCCCAGGGCCTGGAACACATCCTTCAAGGCAGTGACTGCAGCGTCCGCCACCCCAGGGCTGCTGAGCATCAGGGCTGCCCTTGGACCCTGCACGTTGTATTTTCCCTGGGGAGGCAAGGCCAGAGCTGGGCTGGGCTAGGCTGGGGCTCAGCTGGGAGGCAGCAGTGGCTGGGCCAGGTGGTGCCTCCTGCTACCTTTCTCCCCAGGCTGTCTCGAGTATCTGCTATCTGCGTGGCCACCCGCAGGGTCCCAGCCACCAGGAAGGCCATGGTGCCAGGTGGGGCTTCCTCCAAGCACCAAGCACAGAGCTCGCCTCCTGGCCCTGGGCTCCTAGTGCCCTGGGTCCTAACCCTTGGCCTCTCCCCTAACGACTGCTATCAGCTCCACTTATGAGCTAAGCTGGACTCTGCCCCCTCCCTGGAACTCTGGTGCCTGGCCCTGCTCCCCCAGCCATGGCTCCATTCTCTGGCTCCTGCCGGTGACTCCCTTGCTGGCATTGATGTGCCCCCACCTGAGCCAGGAACCTGTGCCCAATCCTATTCTTAGCTCCTGACCCACGTGCTTATCTGATCTCCTTACACCCGAGTGTCCCTTTGGAGCCAGCCACCACCACCAAGACGTCCTTGTACCGTTTCGGCGACCTGCCACCCTCGTGCACATAGCACCAGGACCCCAGAGGTAAGAATCGCCAACTGGAATCAGCCCTGTCTGCAGCAAGACCTCACTTGCTTCTTATGGGAAATGGGGACCATGGCAGCAACCGCAGGATGATGCATGCATGGGAGGTTGGCAGAGAACAGCCTGGGGGCAGAGAGGGCTGGCACATGCACACCTGTTGCCAAGGGACCAGAGCATCTTGTCTCCGCCGGCTTCCACCTCCCCTCAGGTAGGGCCCCTGATGCCACCAGCATGGGTGGAAGGAGGGGTCATGCCTGGGTGATCACCAGTTCTGACCCCGCACCCACCAGCTCTTGGTGGGTCCCCATCTGGGGCTCTTGGCAGGAAGAAGTTAGATGTCAGGGGCTGCCGGGGAGGAAGGGCAGGCCCACTGTCAGCCCCTCCTCCAAGGGACTCAGCCTGGGACAGCCTTGAGTTCAGATCCCCAATGGGCAGAATGAGGGTCCCACCGCTGACCAAGCAGCCGCCATCTCCAGACCCTTCTTCCTTTCCCGGTTGTGGAAGAAGAGTGGCCTGGTGAAGACCCCGAGTCCTGCTCAGCTCCCTGTTCTGCTGGGGCACAGACAGTGCCCCCAGAGCAGGGCAGGCACTGGCTGACACGGGGACAAGAGTCCCAGGGGACATGGCTGCCCATTGGGGGCCAGCTGACCTGAAAGCCAAGGATGTGGCTCCTCCTGGTGACGGCACAGCACCATGTGCCACCAGGACACAAGGCCAGGCGAAGGGATTTATATTCCAGGTATCCCCACCCACTACCAGGGAAAGAACAGAATAGCCTGGAGGGAAGTTTCCACCTTTATTAAAACTCTTCTGTCACCCTCTGGAGGCCTGCAGGGCTGAGTCTTTGCAGGGCCTGTGGTCCGTCCCTGTCCATGGAAGGCAGTGCTCAGGGGCAGCAGCAAAGTGCCAATGGAGCAGGGCACCAGTGCCGATGGAGCCGGGCGCCAGTGCCGATAGAGCGGGGCACCAGAGCCGATGGAGCCGGGCGCCAGTGCCGATGGAGCTGGGTGCCAGTGATGATGGAGGGGGGCGCCAGTGCCGATAGAGCGGGGCGCCAGTGCCGATGGAGCGGGGCGTTATTGCTGATGGAGCCGGGCGCCAGTGCCGATGGAGCTGGGTGCCAGTGATGATGGAGGGGGGCACCAGTGCCGATAGAGCAGGGCACCAGTGCCGATGGAGCTGGATGCCAGTGATGATGGAGGGGGGCACCAGTGCCGATAGAGCAGGGCACCAGTGCCGATAGAGCAGGGCACCAGTGCCGATGGAGCGGGGCGTTATTGCCGATGGAGCCGAGTGCCAGTGCTGATGGAAGGGGGCGCCAGTGCCGACGGAGCGGGGTGCCAGTGCCAATGGAGGGGGTTGCTAGTGCCGATAGAGTGGGGCACCAGTGCCGATGGAGCCGGGCGCCAGTGCCAATGGAGCGGGGTGTTATTGCCGATGGAGCCGGGTGCCAGTGGTGATGGAGGGGGGCGCCAGTGCCAATAGAGCGGGGTGTTATTGCCGATGGAGCTGGGTGCCAGTGATGATGGAGCGGGGTGTTATTGCCATGGAGCTGGGTGCCAGTGATGATGGAGGGGGGCGCCAGTGCCGATACAGCGGGGCACCAGTGCCGATGGAGCAGGGCGCCAGTGCTGATACGGCGGGGAGTTATTGCCAATGGAGCGGGGCACCAGTGCCGATGGAGGGGGTTGCTAGTGCCAATAGAGCGGGGCACCAGTGCCGATGGAGAGGGGGCATCAGTACTGACGGAGAGGGGCGCTAGTGCCGAGGGGGTGGAGCATTAGTGCTGATGGAGTGCCAGTGCTGAGTACGCTCTAGAGGAGCTGACAACAGCCAGACGCCCTGTTCTTCGTTCCAGGGTTGTCACTGGAGCCACCATTGTCCTGCCCAGACTGGTGGGTACATGGCTGTCGAGGCTCATGCTGGGGCAAGGAGGCTGAGGGTAAAGGCAGGACGAGTCCGTGTGGCCAGGACAGGGCAGAGTGGTCATGGCCTGGAAACGGGAGTGGGTGGGGCCAAAAAGCCCCTGCAGCCGTGACTAAGACCCGGGGTCCCACAGGTGTCGGTTGACTGTCCCTCCCAAAGCCCAGCAGCCCCCTGGGCGGCCAAGGCCAGTCCTTCATGCCCACTGAAAGGCACAGGTTGGCAGGGCAGAGGCCTGACCCATGGACCCACCCCAGAGGGTGGAGGCCAAAGAGCCACAGTCAAATGAGGCTAGGGGGCTTCTGGGAAGGGACCTAGACCTGAGTCCTGGCCGCCCCGCTGCCCGTCAGGAATGTGTTGATGCTCCAGGAGATTAGAGGGGAAGAGAAGTGCTAGGAGCAGAAGGGGGAAAGACAAGATTGGGGGGGGGGCTTCCATTCCCTTTGAGTGCTGGGCAGGTCCTCAGAGTGTGATATAGCTGACTTAAGTTGGAACCTGTACACTGCCATCTTATGAAAGACAAAAATGTTTCCGTTCTCCTCAAGGACTGCTAACCTTGGTTTCTGTAAACTGCTAGGTCATTTGCAGGATGCAAAGAGAGGTAAAGCTGCATACCTTCTCTTATCTGCCAGAATTGCTGGCCTTTGTTTCCCAGAGTAAGCACCCCCAGATCATTCCATCCTGGCGCCAAGCAACTGAAAATCTATGGATCCCACCCCTACCCAGACGATGTGTAAATGAATGCGAATCTTAGCATCTGTGAACCCTTAAATAACAATCAGAATGTCAAAGAGTCCCCTGGCCCTCGAAATGTCCGGAACCCCCTCACCCTCCTCTCCGCCCAGAAGGTGATTTGAATCCACTGGCCCTCGGAATGTCTGAAGCCCCTCACCCTCGTCTTAGCCTGGGAGGTGATTGACAGCTTTCATTCCCATCTCCACCCCCACTCCCAAGGTGGTTTTGCGGGTATAAAAAGGTCTTGTCTCTCTTCTTTCGGGGCCATGGGTTGGAGAGACGTGAGTCCTCCGTGGTCGCCGGCAATAAACCCTGCAAATTGGCATACTTTTGTTCTGGTGTTGACTTTCTGTGCTAAGTTCAATGCAACATTTTGGAGGCCCCAGTGAGATTTTATTTTTCATCACCAGATAAAAGCCATTTCAGAGTCTCGCCCGGGCAGCTGCTCCCTCCTCGGAAGCCTCTAGGGGAGGCGCCCCCTGAGCTATCTCAGGGCCCCGGAGTGCCACTGCGGAAGAGCGCCCACCCGGCCGACATTCACCCCAAAATTCTTCAGGGTCCTAAAAGCCTCCGGAGGTAGGTTGGTTTGGAATCTGGGAACCGGTTCAAGGGAAAGGGCCTGTGTCGGGGGACTGACGAGTCACTGCAACTCTGACCTGGCAAGCCTCACCGAGACGTCGCTTGAGGCTTCTGGTGGCTGGCATAGTGGGTGCCAGCCTTCTGGTAGCTGGCACAGTGGGTACCCGCGTTGAGTAGCTGGTATAGTAGATATCAGCTTTTGGTAGTTGGCATAGTGGGTGTCAGCATTCGATTGTTTTCCGTAGCCTCTGTGTGAGTGAGAGAGTGTGAGTATCTATGTAGTCCCACGGCTGAAAGCTACGGGATTTGAGTGGGCCTCCACCCGCGGTTCCACGGGAGCGTCATAAGGCATAACGGTGACTCACCTCAGAGCTGTCTACTCGGACTTCCATCCTGAGGTGACCAGGCCCGGGGATTATACAGGTGCACCTTGAGTCAAGACGTTCCTGAAATACCCCTCCGGGGGCGTGGCCGGGCAGGCAACTGAGTGGTCTCCTCTGGGAGGCTCCCATCCCTTGTTGTCACTCTTTCATGTGGTTCTGTCTCGTCTGTAAGTTTGTCAGTTTCATCAGACTTCTGCTAGCAGACATACTCTGGTCCAGACCATCTTCCCTTGAGGTAGGGGATATATTACAGTGGTGGACGAACCACCGGGTGCAGGGAACTTTCACTGATTATACCCCTGCAGAGACTACTCTCTTCTCCTTCTTTCTCTTCTTCTTCTATCACTGAGGCCTCATTCTTTCTTTCTCCGCCATGTGGCAGATAGTCTTAACTTTCGTTGTTTTTATTCTCTTCCTTGTTATGATCATTGTGGCCTGTAAATTCTCCCAGCCACCTCCACCGGGAAAAGAGTATTTTTGCCCGTGCTGAGTCTGAGTCCATGTCGGGAAGGCAGTTGTGCCCTCGGCACCTCGGAGCAGTTTCTTTAGGGTTGTAGGAAACAAAGTCCTAGGTCAGGGTCTACGAGAGCTCTTTGTCAGACTGGGATGGAAAACTGGTAACTGCCTATTCTGTCAGAAAAGTGTCCAGTGTTGTTATGAGCAGTGCCCGGTGGTGTATCACAGGGAGGCATACTGGCATCATCCCAATTGTTAAGAATTTGGGAGCCATAAACCACTAAAGACAGATTGGCAACTCTTTTGCTCGCTCTATGAATTGTGGTGGGTACAAAGTACTCACCCAGTTGAGCTGTTAGTTCATCTCTTTTGCCATATCCCCACTTTTCCACGAGGTTTAGATAGGAGAGCCTGTAATCAAGAGGATTATGCCCGGGCAGCAGTAAACCTCCAGAGAGCTTATTCTAGTCAGCCGTGGTTTACAGAGACCGCCACCTTACCCTGGCCCTTATCCCCTGTTCCTTTGGATAGGACTAGAGACATACCCACCAGTTCAATTGTCTGGTCCTTGCAGGACCTGGCTGCAGAGGCCTTACTAAAACCTGCTTTAGAGAGAGCAAAATTTGAGTTGGAGGCTTTCCAAAATCGGCTATACCACAGAAAAAGAGAGACGCGAGTAGTAAGCAAGAGTTTCGAAAGAAAGGAAAAGAAAACGAGAGAGGAGAGAGAATAAGAAGAGAGAGGAAATAGGGAGAGAGAGGGAGACAGGAATTAAATGCTTTTCAGGATCCCTGCGTAAAGGTGACAAAAAAAAAAAAAAAAAAAAAAAACATGCGGGCAGCGAACTCGCAGCCGGCCCAACAGCGGCTTGGGACTCAGTTTACACTGACACAAAAAGCATTTTTTTCCTTCTCTGCCAGCTGCCAGCCGCGCTCGGCTTTCAGGCAAGACACACTGCCTCAGAGTGTAGCATAAGGAAAGCTTTTCTAACTCTTAGTAGTGCAAATTATTTGTTAGCACAGCAATTAAAGTGGGGGGGGGCGGCCCACAAGCTACAAAATTGTTAGTTTAAGTCCTCAATAAAGCCAGTCTTAAATTAGTAAAATTTCTCAAGGAAAAATTTAAAACTGAGAGAAAAAAAAAAAGGGGGGGACCAAATGAGCTCGTCTCAGTCCCGACCATGCACCCCACTCCGATGCATGATGGAAAAACTTTAAAATAGGGTTCTCTGGCCAGTATGGTGTTAAACTAACCCCACAGAGGCTTCAGACCCTCTGTGAGTTAGGGTGGCCAGCCTTTGGGGTAGGCTGGCCAGATACGGGGACATATGACCCCAAGATAACTCAGGCTGTCTGGAACATCGTGTCAGGGTCCCCAGGCCACCCTGATCAATTTCCATACATAACCAGCACCCTCCTCCTTGGCTTGAAAAATGTATAAGGTGTGCTAGACCTCAGGTTATGCTAGCAGGCCCAAAGAAGGGCCCCTCAGCACCGGCTGTTCTTCCAGGCCCTGCCGAGTTGCCTCGACCGTATTCTTGGCCCTCGGGGGCGGGGCGGGGTTCCAACACCCCTCCCCGGACGGTACTAATGACCAGCCCTTGTCTCCTCTCCACACTCGAAGCAGGGCCCCACACCCACAGGCAGTCCTTCCTCTCCAAGAGGCTCCCCCAACAGGAGAAAACAATTAGGATCTCCCATTCTTCGTTCACATCTTGTCAAGTGACTTATATAACTAGAAGGTGATAGAAATTAAGGAGAAGGCCAAAACACCAAGTGCTGGCACAAGCTTTATTGAGAGCAAGAAAAAATCTGCTGGGCTGCACCCAAAATTAACATGCAGCACCTGTGGCATGGCAAAGGGGATTCCTATGGCCTGCAAGCCGGCAGATGCCTCCAGTGTGAGGGGCTGTATGGGAGGGGAGGGGCTGGGGAAGTGCTAAGTTTGATAGTTCCTGGGAGGGCTGGGGAACTGCTAACAAGGCGAGAGGGGGAGGGTTAGAAACCTGCTGAGATGGAAAGTTCCCCGGGAAGGGGTCGTGCTTGGGAAGCTGAGGATCATAAGGCGGTAGCGAGGTTTTGTAAATTCTGTCGGAAAGCTCAACATCCCCCGTTCTGGGCACTTAAAATCTGTACTGCAGACTTATCGCCCCACTTAGAATAACTGCCAACAATGACTGAGTTTGTTCACCACAGAGGAGAGGAGTAGAATTAGACAAGAAGCCCATAAAGCAATACTTGGGACAGGGGGAGGGTCAGTACAAGACGGCCAGGAACAAATGAATGAACTTTTCCCTTCCACCAGGCCCCAGTGGGACCCAAACACCCCAGCGGGCATGCAGGCTTTGAACAATTTTCACCGGTACTTATTAGAGAGAATTAAGGGGGCAGCCCAAAAACCCACCAACCTCTCCAAGGTAGGGACCGTGACCCAGGGTCCACAGGAGCCTCCTGCCACTTTCCTTGAGCGCCTACAGGACCTTACCGCACCTACATCCCTATTGACCCTGAGGCCCCGGAAAATCAGCAGGCCATCAATCTAGCTTTTGTTTCCCAGTCAGCCCCAGACATCAAAAGAAAGTTACAAAAATTAGAGGGGTTCCAGGGAATAAATCTAACTCAGTTGTTGGAGATCGCCCAAAAGGTTTTTAACAATAGAGACACCTTAGAAGCCAAACAAGAGAGTTACTAGGGCAGTAATAGCAGCTCTCCAGGAAACCTACACCTCCATTGGAGGTCAGGAAACCCGAGTTATCTCAAGGGGACCAGAAATCCAGCAGAGAGGCCCTAGGAGACAGAGGCCCCAGTTGGAGCCTAACCAATGCGCATTCTGCCGAAGAGAGGGACGCTGGAGGAAGGAATGTCCAGAAAGAAGGAGTCGAGGGTAATACAGGAGAGACAGCCAAGGGCCATCTTCAGCTTGGAAACCAGGGACTGACAGACCCCGGGCTCTTATCAACTAAGCCCCCAGGAGCCCAGGGTCACTTTGAAAGTTGGAGTCACACCTGTCAGTTTCTTGCTCAACACCGGTGCGGCCCACTGTCCAACAGAAAAACAATTATTCAGGGAGCTACAGGAAAAAACCACATCAAGCCCTTGGACCACCAACCGACTCATTGATCTGGGAAACGGTACGGTCACCCACTCCTTTTTAGTTATTCCAGAGTGTCCATACCCACTCCTAGGATGGGATTTACTCCACAAACTTCAAGCAAATATTTCTTTTTGCAAGTCAGGCTTGCCTCTCAATTCCGTCCCCCCGCCTTGACATTAGGGCCATCTCAGAAAATCCTCATCACCTGTGCTCTATCAGACAAGTATCTCTTGCAGGAAGCTTTATCCTCAGAAGCAGATCACCCGCCAACATCAGACATCCTCTGCCAGTTTCAAGAAAAGGTACCTGGAGTATGGGCTGAAACAAATCCCCCAAGCTTGGCAAGTCACCGTACCCCAGTCATGGTCCAGTATTGGCAATGGCAACTCCAGTCCAGGTACGACAATATCCCATGAGCCAGGAAGCTAGACGGGGAATTGCTCCACATATAACCAGACTTCTAAAAGGAGGAATCCTTACTCCCCGTCTTAAAACCAGGCACAAAGGACTATCGACCTGTACAGGACTTGAGGAAAGTAAACAAACGAGTGGAAACTGTTCATCCTACAGTTCCGAACCCATACACCCTCCTGAGTCTATTGGCCCCGGACCACCTCCACTACATGGTCCTGGACCTAAAAGACGCATTCTTCTGTATACCGCTGGCTCCGGTCAGCCAGCCCTTATTTGCTTTTGAATGGACTGACCCGGACACAGGGGTTTCTGGGCAAGTCACTTGGACGAGACTGCCGCAGGTGTTCAAAAATGCCCTACGCTGTTCGATGAGGCATTGAGCCAAGACCTTACAGCTTTCCGAGCTGAGTTCCCAGAATGTACCCTGCTCCAACACGTGGATGACTTACTCTTGGCTACAAAAACCCAGGAGGCCTGTAAAGAGACCACTCAGTCATTATTAAAAACCCTGCAGACTTTAAGGTACCGGGTCTCAGCTAAAAAGGCCCAACTCTGCCAGCCGAGAGTTACTTACCTGGGCTATATTATAGAGAAGGGCAACCGGGCACTGGCACCCAGCCGAATCCAAGCAGTGCTGCAAATACCCACCCCTACTACGAAATGCCAAGTTCAAGAATTCCTTGGGGCAGTAGGATACTGAAGACTATGGATTTTGGGATTTGCTGAGATAGCCAAGCCCCTGTATGCCTGCACTGGAGGAAATCAGCCCTTGACATGGACAGAGGTAGAGCAACGGGCTTTGGACAAGCTCAAGACTGCCCTGACTGCGGCCCCCGCCTTGGCCTTGCCAGACATCTCTAAACCTTTCCAGTTGTTTGTGCATGAAAAACAGGGAGTCGCTAAGGGGTTACTCACCCAAACTCTGGGACCCTGGTCCTGGCCAGTCGCCTACCTCTCAAAAACTTGACCCCGTAGCCTCCGGATGGCCAGCTTGCCTAAGAGTGGTAGCAGCCATAGCCTTATTAGTCAAGGAGGCGGACAAGCTGACTTTGGGGCAGGAGTTAAACTTAGTAGCTCTCCACGCGGTGGAGTCGCTACTCCGTGGAGCCCCGGGAAAATGGATGTCAAACGCCCGCGTAGTTCAATATCAGGCCTTACTTTTGGATCAGCCCCGCATAAAGTTCTTAAAGACCACAGTTTTAAACCCTGCTACATTGCTACCTGACAGCAAGCCAGAGGAGCCCTTACATGACTGCCAACAGACTACAGATGTCCTCCACGCTGCACGGCCAGATCCCCACCGACATGCCCCTGCAGAACCCGGAGGAGGTACTGTATACAGATGGAAGCAGCTTCATGGTCAATGGAGTCAGGTATGCCGGGGCAGCTGTGGTCACCCTAGAGCGGGTTATCTGGGCCCAAGCTCTCCCATACGGGACCTCAGCCCAGAAGGCAGAACTCATAGCTCTAATAAAGGCCTTGAACTGGGCAGAGAGAAAAACTGTCAATATCTACACAGATAGTCAATATGCCTTTGCTACGGCCCATGTACATGGAGCCATTTATAAAGAAAGAGGGCTGCTTACCTCAGGGAAAAATCATCAAAAACAAAGAGTCTAGAAGAGGAACCCCTAGCCTTACTAGAACAGAAGCTACATGGAAGCCTAAAGCAGTAGCATTCATACACTGCAAAGGACACCAGAAAGGAGATTCACCAGCGGCAAGGGGAAATAGGGCAGCAGGCCTGCAAGCCAGACAGGCAGCCTTGGGGCCGGTAAAACCTCTGACTCTTCTTGCGACTCTGCCGGCCCCAAACCTGCCTCCTACCCCAATATACTCGCCTGAGGAAGAAAACTTTGCTAAAGAACAGGGGGGATGGCAAGATTCCACAGGATGGTGGATTCTACCAGACACAAGGATTGTGCTCCCCGAGGCCCTAGGAAGGGTTCTAGCTAAGGACATACATCAGGCTACCCACTTAGGGCAAACAAAACTAACTGAGCTGCTGAGGGCCAGATACTACATTCCACATTTATATGAGATTGTTAAGGAAACTTCTACTCGTTGTGAGGTCTGAGCCAGAGTAAATCCAGGGGCCAGTAGGTCTAGTCAGGCAGGGATAAGACTTAGGGGACTAGCCCAGGGGAACACTGGGAAGTAGATTTTACTGAAATAAAGCCCCCAGCTTGCGGCTATAAATACCTCCTTGTGTTTGTAGACACTTTCTCTGGATGGGTCGAGGCTTTTCCTACTAGGTCAGAAACCGCGCTGGTAGTAACAAAGAGATTGCTACAGGATCTGGTTCCTCGGTTCGGCTTGCCCCTGACGCTGGGATCAGATCATGGCCCCGCCTTTACGGCGCAAGTTTCTCAGGGCCTGTCCAAGGCCCTGGGCATATCCTGGAAGCTACACTGTGCCTATCGCTCCCAGAGTTCTGGGCAGGTTGAAAGGATGAACTGGACCATAAAGGAAACTTTAACAAAATTTATCCTAGAGAGCGGTGAAAACTGGATCAACCTGCTTCCTTTTGTTCTCCTCAGTGCCCAATGTACTCCCTATAAGAAAAGCTTTACTCCTTTTGAAGCTATGTTTGGAAAGCCCCCTCCCTTACTTCCCATACCCATGGATACCGTGCATGCTAAAATTCATAAGCATACACTCCTTAAGTCTTTGCAGGCACTCCAGTGTGTTCAGTCCCAGGTGCACTCTGATAAGGGGAGCTCGACCTACCCCAGGGGGCCTCACTGACTAGGCGGTACACCCCCTTCCAGCCAGGGACGAAGTCCTGATAAAGAAATTCACTGTCTCCGGCCTGAATCCTCGCTGGAAGGGACCCTACACCGTGATTCTGGTCACCCCCACAGCAGTCAAGGTGGACAGACTGCCTGGATTCACCATCCACACGTCAAGACCTGCCCCTCCCGATGCAAGATGGGAAGTAGTTTCATCCTCAACGGACTCCCTACAGCTAAGACTTTCGCGCCGTTCAAACTTGTCATCCTAATCCCTTTAATTCCTGTAACCACCCCCCTTAGTGCCCCCTTGTCAATAGGAAGGCTCAATGGAACAATTTGTTAGTACTGTACTTAGGGCTAGAACCACCCTTGTCAACTTAACCCTAGAGTACATTCCCAGAGATGCCATAACCTTCTCCCTAGACCTCTGCACTCTTAAGTGAGAGCCTAGATGCAAATACTGTCAGACAAATGAAAACAAAAAGATGGGGCGGGGAAATGCGGTGAAAGCAAAGGAAACAGGGTATAGAAACGTAGTGGCTGAAAAACAGCTTCAGACAATGAGGCTATATTTATACCCAGAGTCCACACCAGATAAGTGAAATTCTCATAGCACCCAATACAGACAGACGTTGGAAACGGGCCCCCATAATTATACCCCTATTAGTAGGACTTGGAATTGCAGGGTCCACCCCTATAGAAATATCTGCCTGAGTCACTGGGGACAAAAATTTCCAAACTCTTTCACATCAAATAGATGCAGATATTGCCCCTCTGGAAAATTCCATCACCAGATTAGCTGAACAAGTAGACTCCTTGGCTGAAATGGTTTTGCAAAATAGAAGGGGGTTAGACTTGTTGCTCTTGAAGGAAGGAGGGCTGTGCGCGGCTCTCGGTGAGCAATGTTGCTTCTATGCAAATAACTCTGGAATTATCCGAGACAGCCTTGCTATGGTTAGGAAAGACTTAGAAACAAGGAAACACCTCAGAGAGGCCTCAGGAAATTGGTACCAAAAACTGTTCTCTTGGTCCCCTGGCTGACGTCCCTGCTCACTGGGTTAGCAGGACCCTTAATATTAGTGGTCCTAAGGTTGACATTTAGGCCATGTCTTTTAAACATGCTCTGCAAATTTATCCAGGAAAGAATAGATTCAGTAAATAGTTCTAAGATCCAACTATGGGCCCCTGTGTCAAGAAAAAGACACCTATTGAAGATTCAATACATGTTATAAGAACAGGGGGGAACGTGATATAGCTGACTTAAGTTGGAACCTGTATACTGCCATCTTATGAAAGACAAAAATGTTTCCATTCTCCTCAAGGACTGCTAACCTTGGTTTCTGTAAATTGCTAGATCATTTGCAGGATGCAAAGAGAGGTAAAGCTGCATACCTTCTCTTATCTGCCAGAATTGCTGGCCTTCGTTTCCCAGAGTAAGCACCCTCAGATCATTCCATCCTGGCGCCAAGCAACTGAAAATCTATGGATCCCACCCCTACCCAGACGATGTGTAAATGAATGCTAATCTTAGCATCTGTGAACCCTTAAATAACAATCAGAATGTCAAAGAGTCCCCTGGCCCTCGAAATGTCCGGAACCCCCTCACCCTCCTCTCCGCCCAGAAGGTGATTTGAATCCACTGGCCCTCGGAATGTCTGAAGCCCCTCACCCTCGTCTTAGCCTGGGAGGTGATTGACAGCTTTCATTCCCATCTCCACCCCCACTCCCAAAGTGGTTTTGCGGGTATAAAAAGGTCTTGTCCTTCTTTCGGGGCCACGGGTTGGAGAGACGTGAGTCCTCCGTGGTCGCCGGCAATAAACCCTGCAATTTGGCATACTTTTGTTCTGGTGTTGACTTTCTGTGCTAAGTTCAATGCAACAAGAGCACAGCAGGGCAGGCCAGCTCTGCATGTAGGGTGCCCTGGACTCCCTTGGACAGCCTGGGAGGTGGCCACAGATGGGAAGAAAGTCCCGTGGCCGAAACGATGTGCCGCGGCTAGGCCTCCCGGGGTTTCCGGGCAAGCTGGCTGCTCACCCCACCGGCTGGGCCATCTTGGCGTGCAGGCTCTGGTGTGCGATGAGGTGAGCGCGCTGCTTGAAGCTCTTGTCGCACTCCCCGCAGCCGAAGGGCCGCTCGCCGGTGTGCACGCGCCGGTGGTCCAGCAGGTAGGAGCGCAGCGAGAAGCTCTTGCCGCAGTCGCTGCAGCCGAAGGGCTTCTCGCCTGTGTGGATGCGCTGGTGCTCGGCCAGGTAGGCGCTGCGGCTGAAGCTCTTGCCGCACTCGGAGCAGGAGAAAGGCTTCTCGCCTGTGTGCACGCCCTGGTGGCGCACCAGGTCTGAGGAGCTGCGGAAGCTCTTGTCGCATTCGGGGCACTTGTGCGGCTTCTCGCCCGTGTGCGTGCGCTGGTGCCGCGCCAGGTCTGAGCCCCAGCGGAAGCGCTTCCCGCACTGCGCGCAGCTGTGTGGCTTCTCAGCCGCCAGGTCCCGGAACTGACGACGGCGCGTGGGTGGGCGTCCCCGTCGCGCGCCCACCACTGGGCCCAGGGCCGCCTGTCCTGGCAGCGCTGGCACCACCTCCTCTGGCCGGGACCTCTCGCTTTGGCCTTTGAGCCCCAAACCTACAAAGCAAAGGAGGTGACCTCTTCAGTCCCACTCGGTTCTGGGGCCAGAGCTGAGGTGAGGAAGAAACGAGGCTGGGGAAAGCTCCCTGGCCTCCAGGTTCAGATAGCCCTGGGCTCACACAGCAGAAGCCTCAGATTCCTCATCTATAAAATGGGGATGATGAAAAAATGTGGCAGTGGCTCACGCCTTTGGGAAGCCGAGGCGGGTGGATCACGAGGTCAAGAAATCGAGACCATCCTGGTCAACATGGTGAAACCCTGTCTCTAATAAAAATACAAAAAATTAGCTGGGCATGGTGGCGCGTGTCTGTAATCCCAGCTACTCAGGAAACTGAGGCAGGAGAACTGCCTGAACCCAGGAGGCGGAGGTTGCGGTGAGCCGAGATTGCGGTGAGCTGAGATCGCGCCATTGCACTCCAGCCTGGGTTAAAAGAGCGAAACTCCGTCTCAATTAAAAAAAAAAAGAAAAAGAAAAAATGTGGCAGAGCAGAAGTCTGAGCAGGCCTCTGATCCCGCCTGCACAGGCCAGCCCCCAGGCCATCTGAGCCCTGCAGGCCACACTCACATCCAGTGTCCCACTCTGAACCCCAGCTACTCAAGCTCCACAGCTGAACAGATTTACAGTAATTCTGAAAATTTTCCCAACTGTCACAGTCAGAAACTGAGGAACCAAGCTGGTCTACCTAGTGTGGCTCCCGTCACCATGCAGGCTCCAGCTCTCCAAACTCAACACACAACAGACCTGGATAGGGCTCTAAGCCCATCCTGCTAGGAGTGCTGACTGAACAAGATGATCCCTGAGGGTGCTGAGAAGGGGCCTGGCATGAAGAGGGATCTCGTAAGTGCAGCTCTGATTGGCAGGCCAGGCTGGTGAGCAGCTGGGGTTCCCCATCAGCACCCCTGGTCCTGGCAGCCCAAGGTGGCCTCACAACTATGCCTGATCCAAGTCCCAGTTGTGTCCCTTTAGCATCCATTGACCTGCGTCTCAGGTCCCTTATGTATAAAATGGGGACAATACTTCCATGCACGAGGTTGTGAGAACTGAGGAAGCTGCCCTGAGAGTGCTCGGCGCAGGGCTGAGCAGCGCTGGCACCGTCTCGTGCTGCAGGTGGACAGGCACGAAAACGGATCCTCAGCCAGGAGCCTATTTTACACACAGGCTCCTGGCGAAACCTGGAGAGCCTGCTCTGGAGCCAGCTAAGGGCAGGATGGGAAAGAAGACTGAAGTCCCAGAATGGGGAGCAGCCAGGCTGGACCCCAAAGGCCCTAGGTGCTTACCCAGAGTGGTGTTCCGGGAGTTCTCCCGCTTTATGTCCCAGAAGAGATCCCTCTGAGCAGGGTCCAGGGTGCCCCATTCTTCCTGGGAGAAATAGAATGGAATGTCTGCTGATGCCACAGGTCCCTGAAATGGGGCAAGAAGACCCAGCTCAGGGCTGCCTTGCTCAGGCCTCCCAGCAGCGCTGGCGGGCATAGGATGGGTCAGATGAAAGAGGCCCGATGGGACAGCAAGTCCTGTCTCACAAGCTCAACAGAGCTGAGCACCTTAAAGAAGACCAAAGGGGCTGGTGACTCACATGGACGCCGGAGACAAAGCAGGTATCCATTGGCTCTCTGGTCTGCCCCTCTCTAAGAAGAGCAGGAAGCTGGGCTGAAGGAGAAGAATGGAGCCTTAGAAAGGCCAGCCTAGGCCTGACACCAACACCTTAAGGCCTCCCCGGCCCGTGTGCATGCACACATGCCCTAGGCTTCACAGAGGGAACTGTCCTGCCTGTGACCCTTAGGGCAATGCTGGTGCCAGTGCCCAGCCACTCTACCACCCACGGAACAGAGGCTTACTCACCGCCATGGCTGTGCGGCTCCTGGGGAACAGGTGGCTGCCTCCGTGCCCCTACTGTCGAGGGAGGCCCTTTGGCCTGAGATCCCTGGCCCGCAGCCTTGGGTTCCGCCTCCTCCAAGGGCACATCCTGTGCAGGAACCACAATATGCTCATCAGCTCGAAACCAGACCGGGGGAGACAGAGTTTATTTCCTGGGAAGGAGACACAGGACATGACCCTCAGGATGCTGGGGAGTGGGAAGGAGACCAATAATGTGCCCTAGGAAAGTCCAGAGCAGAATGTGATACCAGGCGATGCTGTGTGCCCAAGGAAACTCCCTGATCAGTCACAAGGCAAGAACCAGCCTGAAAGTCCAGACGCACAACCACTTAGCAGGGTGGGAGCTGGGGACCCTCCTGCCAAAGGCAGAACCCCATCCCCCAGCCACTCATTAGAACCTCCCCACATGCATCCAATGTGAACAACCTAACATCCCACAAGGTAGCAGGGGCCCTGGACAGCTCCGCCTTCTCACCCCACTCTGGAGCTGGCCCTGTGCACACCGTTGTGTCCCTAGAGCCAGGCCTATAGCAAAAAGCAAATAAAATATCTGCAGAACCTGAGTGGAGCTAAAACCTCCTGAATGAAGTGGAACATTCCCACTTCGTTCCTACTACTGCCTTCCAAAGACGCAACAAATAAACTGCATTTACTTTGGACTCTCTGTCTTTCAGAAACGCACCCATGGCACACTGTGCTCCTGGGCCCACTCCTGGGGGCTCTGTATCTCCCCTGCCCTGTCAACTTCTGGGAGGCTTATCTCTGCAGGGTGCCCAGTTCTCTTCAGCTCAGGTACCATCCAGGTGCCCCGGATGTGGAAGGGTCCCTCACCTGCGGCCAGGCTTTCACTGGCTGCTTCTGTAGGTCCTCCACCAAGGCGACAGCCTCCTCGCCACTTCCTGGGTGCTGCTCACGCACCCAGCCCTGGATCTCCCCCGGCAGCGCTGTCAGAAACTGCTCCAGCACCAGCAGCTCCAGGATCTGCTCTTTGGTGCGTAGCTCAGGCCGCAGCCAGCGGCAGCACAGCTCCCAGAGCTGGCTGAAGGCCTCGTGAGGCCCATGCGCATCCCCGTAGCAGAACTGCCGGAAGCGCCGGCGGCAGGCTTCGGAATTCCTGCTGTCCTCATGCTGGGCAGATTCCTGTTCCCAGGAGGAATCTTCCACTTTCACAATCAGAAGCCCTTCTCCCACCCCAGGGGCCTGGTCCTGGGGCTCCAAGGGGGCTGCCATTCCCCTGGCCTGAGGGTCAGGGCTGGTCAGCCTCAACCTGTCCAGAACCTGTCCTTTCAGTCTCCCAGAGGGATCCCCTGTGGCAGCTGGGTCGGCATCTGGATGTGTACTCCTGGGGAAAGAGCAAAATGGCAGAACTGAGGAGGAAGGATGTGGAATACATGAGCAAACACCAGACTGAAGAGCCATCCAGTCCCCATCCTTTCATGGCCCTGAAGCCTTTTCCAGGCTCTATTGGAATGCCTTGCTCACGTGACTGTCTCTCCTATTAACACAGGCCCGCAAGCTCTCATCCCAAAGTCAGAAATCCAAAACGCAGGTATTGTATAGCTCCTCCGACAGCAAAACCCAGTGTCACTCATTTCGCAGCACCACTTGACCTGATACGAGCATATTTATAATCTCAATTTATTCCACTAAGTGTAAATGTTCACAATTATGGCAGAAACATTAATAACATGTGTCTTCAGTTTATAAAACTTCTTTGAGCTATACCCAGTGGTGTGTTTTTCTGTACATACATTACACATCAATTAAAGAATTTTAACTGGTGTTTCATTACTTAGTGTTGCCCCAGATCCCTCTGGAGATGTGCTTGGTATACTGTATATGCACTGTATTACCTTTCTCAAATTTGAAAATCTCTGAATTCCAAAACACATCTGGCCCTGGGGTGTCACAGAAGGCCTCACAGACACCATCCAAAGCCCTTTATCCACAGGCACATATAAATGTATGACACGTTTATTGTCAGGGTGTATTACAGGCATGGTGGCTCAGGCCTGTAATCCTAGGAGCACTTTAGGAGGGCGAGGCAGTCAGATCACGAGGTCAGGAGTTCAAAACCAGCCTGACCAACATGGTAAAACCCCGTCCTTACTAAAAACAAAAATTAGCCAGGCATGGTGATGCACACCTGTAATCCCAACTATTTAGGAGGCTGAAGCAGGAGAACTACTTAAACCCAGGAGGCGGAGGCTGCAGTGAGCCAAGATTGCATCACTGTACTCCAGCCTGGGCAACAGAGTGAGACTCCATCTCAAATATTAATAATAAAAATAAATGACACACTTATACCTTACATCGTCACTCTTGTTTTTTGTTGGTGGTGTTTTTTTTTTTACATTGTTACTCTTTACAATGGTTATGAAAAATGTATTTTACAATTTTCATTAATCCATGTTTTGTTTCAACAATAAAAATATAAACTGGTTGGGCTTGGTGGCTCATGCCTGTAATCTCAGCATTTTGGGAGACAGATACAGGAGGACTGCTTGAGGCCAGGACTTCAAGACCACTTTGGGAAGACAATGTGAGATGCCATCTGTACCAAAAAAAAAAAAAAATGCCCGGTGTGGTAGGGGGGCTTCTGTAGTCCCAGCTACTGGGGAGGCTGAGGAGGGAAGACCGTTTAAGTCCTGGAGTTTGAGGTTGATAGCACCACTGTACTCCAGTCTGGGCAACAGAGTGAGACCATCTCAAAAAAAAAGTTAAGAAAAAAAGAAAAAACAGAAAAGAAAAAAATACAAACGATCATAATAAAATGGGGGGTGTTCAAACAATAGAGAGATCCATGAAACTCTCCCTTCCTCAGTGCAATTGCACCCTCCCTTGACGGTCTGACAGCTGACGTTCCAGATCTTTTCCTGTGCTTTTCCTAAAAATGCCGTCCATGGGCGGGGGCGGAGGGTGGAAAGAAAAAAGAAAAAAAGAAGGTGCTTGATGTGTTTTTACATAAATGAGACCTTACTGCACACACATTAGCGGCACTATGAGCTTCCGAGGTATGGACATGCTCCAGTTTCTTAACCAATACTCGAGTGATGCATTCGGGTTGTTTCCAATTCTTTTACTCCACCCTAAGCGCTTTATTTATTCTGCTCCTCACAAGTCCCCTGAAAGGTGCGCGCGCCATGCTCATCCTCTGGTGAGGGCCAGGACTCACCAGGGTCGCTCAGCAGGACACCGCAGGCAGGAAGGCAAGCCGGCCGGAGCCCCGCGGGGCGGGCGACGATCGTGCAGGGGCGTCTGCCCGGGGACCAAGCAGGCAGGGCGGTGCACGCGCGCCCGCCGGCCTCTGCCTCGGGACGCTGATCCCGGCCACCCGGAGGCGGGTGCTGGATGTCGGAGCTCAGCAGCCCGAGCTCGGGTCCCCGCCCCCGAAACACACTACGCCAACGGCGGTCCAGAAGATCCCACTTCCGCCGCCAGCTCCCGGCGCCGGAAGTCCTCGCGGGTGTCGCCGGGAAACTACGCAGCGCACGCGCTGGGGCAAGCATTGGCCCCCTACATTCCTGGGTTCCCAAAAAGCCATTAGTACTCTGAGCCCGCCTTCTCCCTGACTGATCACCAATGAACAGGAAGAGTTCTCGGGCTGGTTATTAGAAGACGGAAACGCCATACGCGTCATACACCGGCATCCGGGCGGAAAGGTGCGGTTCTGAGTCTAGATTTGCTCTGTTCTTCGTCTCTGCTTTTGATTCACATTTTTCTGCGCCTCTGGCCTTTGAGCGGCAAAAAGGGGAAGCCAAGGCTGGCCCGAGGAGCGGAGAGGGCACATGGTCTAGCCACCAGTGGAGTGCCTGCTCCGCCAGAAGGGATGCGCTAGAGCGACCTGTTCCTTCTGCCACTGTCTTTTCTAAACCAACTAGTAGGCGAGGGCCGAGAGGCCGCGGATCGGGAGCTGGAGCTCGGAACGGGGATACTCTTTTCCAGCCTCTTGGGTCCCGCTCCTCCCAATTCCCTGGAGAGGCGTGGAGCTTCCTGGGAAATGCCGTCGGGTAAGGAGCGCGGAGCCTCCTGCCGCGATCCCGTGTGGGTCGCCTTAGAAGGACGCAGCAAGCGGGACGCTGACCTGGCCGGAGTCCCGCGCTCTCCCACCAGCGGCTTCGTCCGCGAGGAGCTGCGGGGCAGCAGGGGTTCAGGGGCCCGGGAGGGATCCAGAGCATAGGGGCTTGGGGTTCTCTTTTCCATAACCTTGGATCCTCTCCCACTCTCTTCACGCCTGACCGGGAGATGATCTCAGGCTCCAGATCTCTTTCTGAAATGGAAAGAGGTTTCTTGCTTTCTTTTAATTTTGCAGGAATTGCATGCTTGGAAGAGAAAATTAAGAAAATTAATTGGAGGCCGGGCGAGGTGGCTCACGCCTATAATCCCAGCACTTTGGGAGGCCGAGGCGGGTGGATCACGAGGTCAAGAGATGGAGACCATCCTGGTCAACATGGTGAAACCCCGGCTCTACTAAACATACAAAAAAAATTAGCTGGGCATGGTGATGTGCGCCTGTAGTCCCAGCTACTCGGGAGGCTGAGGCAGGAGAATTGCTTGAACCCAGGAGGCAGAGGCAGAGATCGCGCCATTGCACTCCAGCCTGGGTAGCGAAACTCCGTCTCAAAAAAAAAAAAAAAAAATTAATTGGAAAAGCATAAAGCTATCTTTCTTGCGGTAGCCACAAGGCTTGCTGTCTCACTTTGCTCATAATGCAAATGCTTTGTCTCACCTCCTCAAAGAGGCCTTCCCCAGCTCTGTAAAGAGCCAAACAGCCTCGGCTCTGCCTTATTTTTCTGCCTAATGTTTATCACTACCCGACATTATATACTTGTGTAATATGTGTTTCCCACGACTCAACGATAAGTGTCCATGAGGGCAGACACTGTTTTTGGTGGTGGGGTGGGGACAGTCTTCCTCCCAGGCTGGAGTGCAGTGGTGCGATCTTGCTCACTGCAACCTCCACCTCTCGGGTTCAAGCGATTCTCCTGCCTCAGCCTCCCGAGTAGCTGGGACTACAGGCACCTGCCACCACGCCTGGCTAATTTTGTGTATTTTTAGTAGCAATTGGGTTTCACCGTGTTAGCCAGGATAGTCTTGATCTACTGACCTTGTGGTCCGCTCGCCTCAGCCTCACAAAGTGTTAGGATTACAGGTGTGAGCCACCGTGCCCAGCCCTGTGAATGTATTTCTAATACAAACCAGGAATTGCTCCATAATGTTTTGTTGACACAGTAGTACATCAGGGATATGGTTTCACATCAGCGTGTATAAATGAACTTCATCTGTTTGGCAAGCTGATAGTATTTAATGCAACGGAATTTTCATATTTTAAGTCCCCTACCTTGGACATTGGGACTGTTTCCATCTTTGTGTATTTGCAAATACGCTTCTACAGATACCTTTACACATTGCCTTGAACATGTCCCTGAGAAAAACTGTAAAGAGAATTGCCAAATGACTTTGTGTACTTATTTCCAACTGTCCTCCAGAAAGCATGTAATGCTTTGAACTTCCACTTGAAAATCAAATGTTTACTGTCCTGTATTTCTCCTGATTCGGACATTTACAGTGTTCAGCTGTTGTGCTCATTCCAGTTCAGTTGGGAAACAGCTTGGTGTAGCATCCCCCTAAGTTCCACAGTAAGAAATACTAAACTTTTGGGGTTTTTTTTGGTGCAGTGGTGCAATTTCACGGAGGTGCAACCTCCACCTCCTGGGTTCAAGCAGTCCTCCCACCTCAGCCTCCTGGGTAGCTGGGATTACGGGTGCCTGTCACCACACTGGGCTAATTTTTGTATTTTTAGTAGAGATGGGGTTTCACCAGGTTAACCAGGCTGCTCTTGAACTCCTGACCTCAAGGGATCGCCTACCTCAGCCTTCCATAGTGCTGGGATTACAGATGAGAGCCACCACACCCATCCTGTTAAACTTTTAAATTATGATAGTTACTATGTATAGAGTGTTTATATGTCAGGCACTGACCTCAGTACTTTACATATCCTGCTCATTCTGTGCAACAGTCTAATGGGAGAAATTCCATGAATATAGTTAACCATTTCCTTGATTTCTAGGGAAGTTGGACATGTTTTCTTGTCTCAAGTATTATTTCTTTTTTTTTTGGAGACAGAGTTTTGCTCTTGTTACCCAGGCTGGAGTGCAATGGTGCGATCTCAGCTCACCGCAACCTCCGCCTCCTGGGTTCAGGCAATTCTCCTGCCTCAGCCTCCTGAGTAGCTGGGATTACAGGCACGCGCCACCATGCCCAGCTAATTTTTTGTATTTTTAATAGAGACGGGATTTCACCACGTTGACCAGGATGGTCTCGATCTGTTGACTTCGTGATCCACCCGCCTCGGCCTCCCAAAGTGCTGGGATTACAGGCTTGAGCCACCACGCCCGGCCTTCTCAAGTATTATTCCTATTTATCCTTTTGTGAATTGCCTGCTGTTATTTCCATTGGGATATTCTTGATGCGTTTGATTTTATATATTGAGGATGTGTGAACACAGACTGATTCTCAAGTATTTTATTTGTTGAGGACATTGACCTACCCTTTAAAATATGTTACAAGTATTTCCTCATATTGTGGTTTATCTTTTGATACCAATCATATGCTTGGATGTAGGTTTTTATTCCAACAAAGGAGTTTTAAATATTGAAGCTCTCATTCTTTTCTCATATGGTTGATTCCAGTGAAGTCTGACTAAAGAGCTATTGTACTCTAACGTTGTATTTTTCTGTTTTATTTATTTATTTTTTGAGCCAGAGTCTCAGTCTGTTGCCCAAGCTGGTGTGTGATCTCTGCTCCCTGCAACCTCCACCTCTCAGGTTCAAGCGGTTCTCCGGCCTCAGCCTGCCAAGTAGCTAGGATTACAGGCATGCCCGCTATAATGCTGGCCTAATGTCTGTATTTTTAGTACAGACGGTGTTTCATCATATTGGCCAGCTAATCTCTAACTGCTGACCGCGGGTGATCTGTCCGCCTCAGCCTTCCAAAGTGCTGTGATTACAGGTGTGAGCCACTGCGCCCGGTGAAGTCTCGTTCTTACTTCACTAAGTTCTGTTATATAGTGTTCTGTCGTGCAGCAGGGTGACAGTAGCTAACAGTAAGGTGTGCTTCCAAATAGCTGGAAGAGAGGATTTGGAATGTTCACACTGTTGCCAGGAATTCTGCATTAGGATAGATCGTTTGACTGAGGAGATCAACAGAGCCAGAACTCTGGACCAACAATCTTGGCTCTTGTAATAGTGAGCAAAGAATTGCAAACACCAAAATGCAGGCTCAAAGCAAAGTGTATTGAAGCACAGTACCACTCAGACGGAGAGTGGGCTGATGTCTGTGATATGAAGCCAGCAGCTCTTTAACAAAACTCAAGGTGCTTTTGAAAACTCCTGGGGTGCCGGGCGCGGTGGCTCAAGCCTCTAATCCCAGCACTTTGGGAGGCCGAGGCGGGTGGATCACGAGGTCAAGAGATCGAGACCATCCTGGTCCACATGGTGAAACCCCATCTCTACTAAAAATACAAAAAATTAGCCGGGCACGGTGGCGCGTGCCTGTAATCCCAGCTACTCAGGAGGCTGAGGCAGGAGAATTGCCTGAACCCAGGAGGCGGAGGTTGCGGTGAGCCGAGATCACGCCATTGCACTCCAGCCTGGGTAACAAGAGTGAAACTGCATCTCAAAAAAAAAACAAAAAAAGACTCCTGGGGTTTGGGAGGCGGAGTTGAGGTTTGGACTATCTTAAAATGACAGGACGATGTTATAACTAAAGTTAAACTGCTCATGTTTTTACCTATAATTTGTTAAGAAAAGTGTGGGGTGGGGCATAAAGCCACATGTAAATTTTATTGTAATGATGGCACACTGAGCTTGGCATGAACTTGAAGACATGGTTCGATGTTGCTGGATATGCACCACTTTAGAGGATTTCCACCTGTGCCCCAGTTTCTCCTACGGGATGTGCTGGGCGCAGGCTGTACCACAAACTATCCATTAGCATGGAGGTAGGGCTGAAGTTAGGTGGGCCAGGGACTGTCTTAGTGACAGCTTTTCTGCTCTTCTTTTCCACCCCCTCCCAGCTACTAATGTCTGTCTAACCACCTAACATCAGCCAAAAAAAAAAAAATTGAGGTGATATGCTTGTTACCCCAATTCAGTGATTCCCTAACGTAAGCATGTATTGAAACATCACACTGTGCCCCATAAACATGCACAAATGTGTCAGAAAAACCTGGCTGGGCGTGTTTTGGAATTTTATAAAGTTGCTCTGAAATTAGTCAAGAAAAATGCACTAATCAAGAAATATTTTACCGAGTACCAGCTCCCCCAGAGAGACCCCCACCCAGGCAGCGCTGATGGAATGAGAGGCAGACGCCCAGATAGAACAGCAAAGTGGGTCTGTTTTGGGGGTCAGCAGCCTTCTGAACTGAGAGCCTCTGGGGCTGACAGCATTCCAGGGTGAGGGCCCCGAGCAGATTCTCACCCATGTACTTTACCTCTCTGAACAGGTTATTATTATTAACACACAGGAGTTTATTTTCTCATAACTCAAAAACATACCAAGTAGGCAGCTGTTCCCTGCTTACCACTGATTACAGGTATTCTTCACGAGGAAGCCACGGGGGCAGGGGCAGGTATCTCAAAGAATTGTTTTAACCGGTGTA